ATATGATGTCAGAAAGAATGCTTAACATTATTAATCACGAGGGTGAAAATTAAAACCTCAAAGAAATATTTATTATACACCTCTTAGAAGAACTGAACAAAAACAAAATGGATACTGTTAAGTGTTGCTCAAGATACAAAACAACTGAAAGTCTTATATGTTGCTGGTGGGAGTGCAAAATATTAAAACTGTTTAAAAAGAGTTTGCAGTTTCTTAAAAAGTTACATATTACACAGTTACCACGTTACCTAGCCATCTCATTTATTCAGGAGAAATGAGAACATCTGCCTAAAACATTGTTTGTGGATATTTATAACGACTTTTTTCATAATTGACTCAACTTAGAGTAACCCGAATGTATTTTGACTATGAAATGAATGAATAAAACAATGCCATACTATTCAGTGTTTAAAAAGAACAAACCTCTGATACACAGGTGAATATCAAATTCATTGTGCTAAGCTAAGGACAGCAGATTAAAAAGCCACATACCACAGTCCAATTTCCATGGCATTAAGAAAAAGTTAAATTCTAGAGACTGAAAACAAATCAGTAGTTGCCAGAGTAGGAGGCAGAGAAGGGGACACAGGAATTTGGGGGTATGATGGAAATGTTTCATACGTTAATTGTGGCGAGGTTTACATGACTGTGCATTTGTCAAAACTTAGAACTGTGTTCTCAAAAAGATAAATTTTCTTGTATGCAGAAAAAATTTATTTTTTAACGTGTATTACACCTTAAAGAATCTGATATTTAAACAAAGTAGATGGCTTTAAAAATGTTCTGTCAATCAGATGTTCCACTTATTCCATTAATTCAGTAACGGTCTCCTTCGCTCCAATTAATATACCAGAGACTTCATTTTTATTAACCTTGCTTTTCATGACTATGGAGGTATGAAATATCTCATACATCTAAATGCTTGTTTTAACCTCTGCTCACGGAGGTGTTAAGTACTAATATAATTGAGAGTTCTGAGCTCTTCTCTGCCTGACTGTAGCCACCCTTGTGATTAAGCTAACAGTGATAGTGGGATGAACCAAGAAGAGGCTGAAACAAAACTCATCGGCCTAAAGGAAGGACCAGGCGGGTAAGCAGGGGAGGAGAGGACCCAAATACAAGGTGGGTATACATACTCTCTGCTCAGCTTTGGCACATACAGGATTGTGCATCCAAGTTTCACAGAGTATCCACACTTCTAAGAAAAATTAGAAAACTTGATTTTTTGGACCATCTCAGTAGATACAAAAAAGCATTTGATAAAATTCCATATGCAACTCCTAGAAAGCTAGGAATAAAATCTTGTTTTAACTGGTAGATGAAAATTGTATACAGTTATAGAGTATAACATGATGTGTTTTGATATATGTATGCATTGTGGAAATTCTGATTTTTATATGTAAACTCTCCCAATCTTAAAATGTTGGGAGCTGCTTCACTTTTTAAAACATGGTGTGGGACAATACAGGCCTTGACTGCAGGTCATGGAGTTTGCAAGTACTGGTCAAGAAATTTGGGTACAGGAGAGAGAAGCAGGGCAAGTTCAGATCTGATGGTTTAACCGAGTGGTTTCCAAGAGTCTGAAATAACTACTAAGAAGTGGACGCACAGCAAGACTTTCAGCTTGAGGGATAGGAAAGGATGGATGGAAAGCAAACCCGGGTGTGTGCTTATGTACGACTGCATACGTTGGAAGTGTTTGCAGAGAAGGGCCTGAGCATCGGTTCCCATGTCAGCAGGGCACCTCTCTGCCCTGAGGAACTGCTGCTACTCATCTTCCCTTCTACAGGCCTCAGATCCCTTACCAGAAACCCCAAGTCTCCAAAGCACCAGCAATCTAAACGTTCAGTTGTTTGGATTTAATGTGTTCAGTGGCCAACACTGATCTGAAGTCAAATGAAGTCACCTGGGGTCTTTATTACCCTCCTTTATGTAAATATTCATACTTGGCATGCAGAATTACCAATGTGTGCAATTATAGGATGTGCCTCCAGACGAAACTTGAGGCCCGACATAACATGTGCCTATGTCCCTCTGCCTCTATCTAACTATCCAGCCATCCATCTTGCCGTTTAAAGATGTCAATAATAATTAATCTTTAAATCTATTTGGCTTCACAGATTTCAGAAAAGAGACTGCGGTCCTGTGTAATCCTTCCAAGGGGTCCCACAGTGACTAGCAACCATCACTAAACTAGAATCTAAGGGCATCTGAGCCCAAAACCTTTCACTTGCTTTACACAGGGACAATTCATCAACCTCGCACTCAAGGATACCTTGCCTCCCCTGCCTCAGCCCATGTTTTAAATCTAAAGAAGATTCCCCTTTTCACTGCCCTATTTATGGAACCTCCCAAGAACAATTACATCCTTTCCAAACCCTGACACATCACAAAGCCTCTAAATCCACAGTCAAAAATAAACATACAATTGGTATTAAAAATTAATCAGTGGTTTCAAGGATTCCAGAAACCAGCACTTAAATCCTTATCTGAGAAGAGTCAGCGATGGCCCTTTATTTTTTAAAGACAGCACAGATGTACAGAAAGGTCAGAAGACTTTCCTCTCTAAAAGCTCTCTTATGGGGCACACCTTTGATTTGTGGGGAAGTCAGAGGGGGGGGGATGAACTGCTGCTTTTCATCACAAGAAGTGAAATGAAAAAATATTTTACAGCTACTGAGTTGCAGACCATAAGACACCCCAAACTATGTGGCAGGCTTTGCAGAAAAAGGAAGAGAGAAACCCCCCTGGAATCAAAGTTGCACTAACTTAAACTCCAGGCCAGGGGTGGTTTGGGGTAGGGGTGGGGCTTCTCTGTGCTCCTCATCCTTCGCCATTCTCCCAGCTGCTTAAATAGCATCTTCAGAACAAGTCCAATGGAACTGCTGCCCCCAGCACCATCTACACAGACATCTGTGATAGCCATGCACTAAATAAAAAGTGAAATCCACTAGATGGTGTGTATGCACACACACACACACACACACACACGAAACCTGAGCTTCTATTAAGAAAAGTCCACACCTGCCCACACCTGCTTTAAACACACATTCCTGAGTCCTCTCAAGGACACGGGGAGAAACTCCAAAGGGGGACAGTCACCCCTTGCTCAGTAACAGGGCACCATCCTCTCTACACCAGCAGTTCTCAACCTGTGGGTCGCGACCCCCAACGGGTCGAAAAACCCTTTCACAGAGGTCACCTAAGACCATCCTGCATATCAGATATTTACATTACAATTCATAACAGTAGCAAAGTCACTGTTACGAAGTAGCAACGAAAATAATCTTATGGTTGGGGGTCACCACAACATGAGGACTGTATTCAGGGGTCGTGGCATTAGGAAGGTTGAGAACCACTGCTCTACACAATGCTTTCTATCCATTCCGTCATTTTATCCATCAAACAACTCTTGTGAGATACTTAGGAAGGGCAATTTGAATTGTCACTTGACATTTAGGGAAACTGACTCCTAGAAATGCTTGAACCTACTCATGGTAGAACTTAGACACCAGATTCTGGATGTGTGCCTTTTGCAATAAATCAGGAAAGTGCTCCTGCCCCCACCCCTACACACAAACACACACACACACACTTGTACACACTCCTGTTGACCTGGACCCGGAAGAGGAAAAGGGCACTGTATAAAACAGCGGACTTGTCCAGGTGGTGTGTCTGGGAAACTGCAGACTCAAGGTAGGTAGATTTTTTTCTGGAATTTCAAACAGTGCCTAATGACTTTTGAAATGCCAAGGCTACTTTTTAAACACCGATTGACAACTTGTCTCTCCCAATGCATTTCTAAGCGCAGCCTCAGAGCTTAAAGCGGGAGGGGGTCACGATTCCCATCCAAGTGGAGTTGAAGTGTTTCTGCCCAGCGCCCAGGGCTGAGACCCAACACGCCGCGCTGCGGGAAAGCACAGGACACACGTGCACACCTCGGTTTAACCAAATGAACCTGAGTTCTCTTCCAGGGCATGGGCAGCTGAAAGCCACGCTTCCCTTTTTCTGCTCCCTGACCGCGCACCCTGGACCCCAGGCAGCTGCCAGCGGAGCTGAGCCCTCGTTCCCCTCCTGCCCCACAGCAGTGGGCGGCTGTATCCCGCAGGGAAGGGCGCCCAGCCCAGCTGCTCCCAGTGCTCAGAGACCGCCTCTCCTGGTCCCTCCCTCCGAGTCCGCACGGCCACCCGGCCCCACACACCTATAAATAATAAAGGTCGTAATAATAGCCAGGCTACCTTCTGTGGGCCCTCCCAGCGCCATGCGTTAGCTCATTTAAACCCCTCCAGCAGGGTGGTCCTTCCATTGCAGAGCTGAGGACACGGAGGTGAAAGAGCTCCTGAGACAGGACTGCTGGTGAGCCAGCTCCGATCCTAAGAAGCGCACCCACCTCCCGGTCCGCGCTCCCAACCACATCGGGGCGAACGTAGGGTGTCCGAGGAGAGTCCGGGCTTCTGCCAAACAGAGGATCTCAGTAAGTGCGTAACGAGTGCGCGTTCCTCCGTGGGCCAAGAGAGGTTCTAGGGGTCCGGTGGCCACAGAAAAGGGACCTAAAGGACCAGGTCTTTCCTACTGCATCCCCAGTCCCACAGCCTGAGCTGTGGACGCGGAGCGCACAAGCTGGGAGGAAGGGGACGCAGAGAGCCGGGCCCCTTCTCCCTGACCCTGGCTCCACGGTGGACTGTGCTGGGGCTGCGGGCAGGTGTTTAAGGAACTCCGGGATGAGGAACAAGGGTGTCCCTCGGCCACGCCTCCTCCTTATCCCCGGCAGCACTATCTCTGGAAGGGTCTCGCGTGGGGGATTTTGAGATTCTGAACCAGCCTAACTTGCCCCAATCCCTAGAAACGGGGCCGCTCGGCGCCCCTCAGAGGCGCTCTCGGTAGGATAAGCGCTCTCACCAAGGTACCCACACCACCCCACGTTTGGGCTCCCCTCATCCCGAGCTCCTTGGGACGCTGGGGAACTTCGCGAGTGCCAAAGACGACCGCCTCGGCCTTACCTTTGCCCAGCAGCGCGCCCAAGACCAGGCTCAGCGCCCCGCACAGCGGCGCCGCCGGCCCGGGGGCCGCGCCCTCGGAGCGCATCCTGCGTCCCGGCCGCTCAGGCTGCCCGC